GAGCCTCACAGCGCCTCAGAATACGGGGTGCCGTGCTCTGTTGAGCCTGTTGGGGACCCCAGTTCAGAGAACTACCCCCCAACTTGAGGGCTTAAGGGCTGTTTTGGTCAACTCTAAGGGGGGTTCCGAGGCTTTCGAGGTGGTTTAGATCGCTGCCATGGGAAGAGTGCATCCATGGATCGACGACTGGGCCCCTTCACTGGCAATGGGCGGTCAACTATAGTAGTGCATATCTTATTCAAGAGCTTTAGGAAGGGTTTCAGGATGTGGGGCCCTGCACGTGAATCGCTTGACTTCGCAGGTCGGGTTACATCTGGGAGAACACCTGGAACTACTTATAGCGCAGTTGTTGAATTCATGTGGGCAGAGGTGTGGTGAAGCAAGCAGATGCTAACCCCACATCTCACATCCAGGGATTGCAGCAGGGGCAGTGGCCTGAGGCAACAGATGTGATTCGTAGGCACTCTCCAGCTGTCCCGGTTTAGGGTTGAGCATTTAGGCTACATGAAGCACTGAAAATCACACCGCACAAGCTACACTCTAAACCGTTTCATGGCAGGGCTTGTTCCACCTGTATCCTGGAATCTGTACGTTCGGTACAAACATAGAGAACCCCTGATACAGACCTTGCAAGCAACCACGTTTGAATCTTCAACTCCCAACCCTCCAAAATCTGCCAGTCAGAAGGATGATGACCAGCCCAAGAAAGACGCAGAACCCTTGAGCTACAGCTTGGCAGAGAAGTTTGCCATCGCTACCGGGTGCATGTTAAGGAGCTGCTTTGTAGTTGCCGTCTTAAGGAAGGCATGTCATTCACAGATACACGTGTTATTGCATGCATGCATACACACACACATATATATATATATACACAAGTGTGTATTCATTTGTTTTCTTTGTTAGATTTTTTATATACATGAAGAAAGAGAACAGGTAGATAGAGCCAGGCCAGGCCTGGGAAAAGTCGGGTACCAGTAGCTGGTAAACCGGCTCTGGCAACTTAAAGCAAAGGGTGTGGCAAGAACCAAGGTTGGGGTGCTTGAGACTATGACAATCGGCACGCTGATCTTTGCCGTCCGTGTCTTGGGCTCATAACAACCTGATCAAAGTTGTGTAGGGGCTTTGGGCGTAGGTTTAGTTGTTAGGGTGTATCGTTAACTTCCGGTTTTAAAGCTCGGCAACCGTCTGCCAAGGATGCTTCATACTCTTCTTTTGCAGGGTTTCGCTTGATCTTCCTCGAACAGTAAGAATTTTAAGAACCATCCGAACACTAGCTGAGCCTTAACATATGGCATTTGTCAGGCCGTGAACTACCTAGTCCCTCACATGTAGTAACTCTTTTCGGCTACCTCAGTGTCTTATGCTATCTACATCATAAACCTCAAGTCCTGAAAGGCGACGCCAGAACCCATAATCACTACAGTGTAAACCCCTTTGAGGTTTGGAGTTTCTGGCTTGCTTGTCGGCTTCAGCTCTGGGATTGGGATTAAGGGGGTTACCACCAGGGTGTAGGGCAGCGCGGGTTAGTTTGGGGTTTGCATGCTATGGCTTCTTGCTTCATTATACGGAGGCGGTTTAGATTGTTTATGCCCAATTTTGGGGTAGTTTGTGAGGGAGGCAATGCTAAGGCCGAAGCCCAGCAAACATGGCTGCAAGGACTACGATAAGCCAAAACCCCACCACCTTCTCAACCCTGAAGTGCGGCGGCGCCCGTGAGGAAGAAGCAAGTTCCTTCAGAGAAAAGATCTTACGCCGAGGTCTTTGCACTATCCCGATGTTTGGGGGAGTTAGTGTGCTATGGGGCTTGGGGTAACCAGGACTTAGAGACTTTCAGGCTTTCGGGCATTGGGATTAATGCTTTGAGGGTTTTAGGGTTCGAGGTTGGAGCACGCGAGAGAGAGAGAGAGAGAGAGAGAGGGTTCGAGGTTGAAGGCTTGAAGGGTTTAGGGTTGAGGGTACAGGGTAGGGTTCAATAGTTCAGGGTTTGGGGGTTCACAGTTCGGTTCAGGGGGCATAGGACCAGGCCTGAGCCCTGTCAGCTCATCCTTTAGCTTCAGCCCCCTCGCGAAGGCAATGTTTCTTAAGTTAGGGTGTGTGCATATATATATATATGTGTGTGTGAGTATGTATGTATATCTAAACCCTGTGAGAGATTCTTGGAGGCAAGTGAATGCATCGCTTCTGGGCGCTTTCTTGCAACTCGGCGAAGGAGTGGTCATCGTGGGTTTGAGACGCATTTTTTTGGCAGAAGGCTTGCTCCGGCAGTTATCCTGATCCTGCTAGGGTTTAGGGTTCAGAGCAAAGTTTGGGGGGGGGTTCTGTGGCTTCAGGCTTGCTCCGGCATTTATCCTCATCCAGAAGGCTTACTATGACACGCTGATCGAATTCCGCGGGCTGCTTGGAAGACAAGTGACACTGACTTCTCAAGGCTAAAGGGAATCCTACGTCCTAGCATGGGTCTTGTCTGTGCCGTCCGTAATCAAGGAATCGACCGTGAGTCTTAGGAAGAGCCCCCGCCCCTAAACTTTAGAGTATGATTCATTTCCTCAAACCCTAAACCCCTAAACCTTAAGGGGTTTGGGCGTCGCTGCGTTATGCGGCCTCCAGAGTCTGGACTCCAGAGACTCGCGGCCCTCTCGCAGGCTCAAGCCCGAGCAGCAGAGCATCGGCAGCTACCTGAACTTGTCCTTGTTGTCGCCGACGAAGTTCACCTGGGACTACGACAAGGTCGTAGCAAGGCCCAAGGTGAATCCAACCTTGCACGACACCTGGAAGTGGCACGATGATGAGTGAACTTGGAATTGGAATCTCCAGAGGGTCTGAAGAAGTAGCGCCTCATGAAAGCAGTGCGGGTGCTGCGGTCAGATACCACCATGAATATGTTCGTTACATACATCATACATCATCCGTGTTCATTGCTTGTCGGTTGGTACCACTATTGTGTACCTCGTATATGGTAACACGCGTACGGCATGCGCAGTTATTACTCGCTATTGCCCTTGTCAAAACATGTTATTAAGTGTCATCAATGCACATGATTGTCATTCATAGTCTTGCTGCCATCAGTTCAGTGCGGTTCAAAAAGAAGGGGGCTCCTGGTGGTGGCTGCAAGAAATTGTCATTTGCATCGTCGAGTTCACCGTCAGCGACACAAGCCATCAACATCATCACCAGCATCAGCACATGTATGGACATGAGTTTCATTTTGTGCACCATCAACTTGTTCCTCGCGATCGTGTCCTGTTCTTCCGCTGTTCCACAGGACTAGGGCCGTCGGCATCTACCATTTTGCAACAACAAGGTCGGTCATTGTTGCAACCCCGGAAACAGATTGGTTGCTTCGTTCTGATGAGATAGACGGACGTAATCCATATCGTTTGTCTCTTCGAGTGAAATCTAGGATTGTTAAAACCGTGTTGATCGGTTTCTGTATGTTCCCGACCGATTTTATATGTCTCCGTCTGCCACTACCGGAGCATCGCCGCCGGTCCTGGGACCCGTCATCTTGGGTTGCTGGTACCGGCTTTTCCCTGACGAGCAGCGAGCATTCGGGGCTGCAGCTGACTAAGTCATGCCTCGGCATCGAAGCTCTCCGACTCTTTGGCATCAGTGAGCCCGCCAGCCAGGCTACCAAAAGGTTAGCGCACCTCAGTTGGCCGTTGTGGCGTGCGAGATTGACAGCCTCGAAGCCGCACAATAGGCAGAATGCTAAACAAAGGCGAAAGGCCCAGCCCAGAAGTGAGCGGAATCCACGGCCCAAGCATCACAGAGCAGCGGCATTCGCAGCCAAAGATGGGCACAGTGAAAAGCGATTTTGCGGGTTTCTGCTGCTATCCTCGGGGGCTTTGTGCCCATCCGTCAGCATAGGAAATCCTCTCCTCACACAGCCAAGCCTATATCCCGAAGAACTAGCACAGATGCCCAAAAAATAAATCGACCCTTGCTGAAACGACAGAAACTGAAGGCCGGCACCCCCGCCCAGCAAAATTAACGAAGCGAGTATCTCTGCTCATACCTTGAAAACCCCCCTGATCCTGGATGACGATGGAGCTCTCTTCCTCGTGCCCCCGTTGGTGCCGTGTCATCGAGGACCCGACTTGGCGATTACAGGGACTATTGGTCGTCTGAATGATAGGTGTGGCAGTGGTTGCAGTAGCGGCGGGCAGGAGCAGGAGCAGGAGCAGGAGCAGGAGAAGGAGGAGCAGCAGCGAAAGCGGCCGCAGCAGCTGTAAGGGGAGTTTTTGAGAGGGTTGTGCTTGGGCTTGAGACTTGCGTCAGGATGTCCTAGATGAGGCGGGCGGTGCGCTGAAATGGGCTGACTTGAGGTGCGAAACGTTTCCGAGTTTATTTGGGTCTGGGTACTGTCCACCAGTAAAGCCCCCAAAGCCTATGAACTCCTAAATCCTGTAAACCCATAAACTCTCAATCAGAGACCCCCAATATGTCTAGACCAAACCCGGACTTCTGGGGCTTCAGGGTTTGAGGATGAGGCTTGATGTTAACATATGACAACACCCGTACCGTATAACAATTGGTCAGAAGGGTTTTGGGGGCATACCTCCATGCTTTAACTATAGTCAAAAAAGATTTGCTTCTCTGTTGGAAGTTCGGGCCTTCATAATAGAGTGTACGGTTGCGTGGAGCGGCCTCGAGAGGGAGTCATACGAGGGCCTTCATAATCACCAGAACAGGGTTTGTGGCTGCTGATGGTACAAGGAGTATGCATGCAAACTATGTCTATTGCTTATTCAGACCCGAGGAATGACAAACCGGAAAGCACATCAACAGTAGGTGTGGATAGACCACGCTGGGGAAGGCCGGCGCATGGGAAACCCTAGAAGACAGATCCGCGCCCTAAATCCTAAACCATACCACAGTAAGCCCTAAGAGCAAGAAGATAAACGTCTGCACTATGTCAAAGCAACCGCGAAGCCTAAGTCTTGCAAACCCTAAACCCTGAACAGAGTAAACTACAAACAGAAGACAGCACACGGCCGCAGGGAGCTCCTCCTGCAGCGCTGTGCCGCCCTAGGGCTGCACTCACGGCACCTTTCGCTGCGTGTGCTTGCCAGTATACCCGAGTCGCTGGCCCAGCACTGTTCATGGTTTGAGGGTTTAGGTATATACAGCGGGGCAGGGCTTGAGGCCGCAAGGAAAAAAAGCAGAAACAGTCGGTAGACATGATACCCACCAAAAGGCTGTAGCTTCGCAATGTGTGTTATACGATTATTCGAGCATTGTGTATGATTTATCCCTGCAAGAGCACTGAGGTCGCTGGTCAAAGAAGGGTCCACGACGTACTGTAGGGTTAAGATCGGGGTTCATATAAGGCTGTGTAGGCCCGAGTGTTTAGTAGCAGGGCTCTGTCGGGGTTTATTTAGGCCTCCAGCTTGGATTTGCTTCAATTGCTGCTGCAATCGGAACTTGGACCAGTCCGGATGGGGCTTGGGGGTTTTCAAGCTCCTTGGCACCCTTATAACACCCTTGCAACATCCATCAAAAGAAGCCTTTCAAAGCCCTGTTAACACTCTGCATAAAGCCATGTTACGGTTCAGGCACCAAGGCTCAGTCGACATTCCCTTCTAGATTAATATAGGGGCCTTAATCGTTAGAATAGGGTTTGAGGGGTAGATTATAGTATATCTAACTATGTGTGTATATATATATATATATTATTGCAATAAGGAACCCCCCCAAAAAAACCCTATTCTAATTATTCAGGCCCCTACAGTATTCCTACATTGTGTCTGGAACATCTAAGGCTTGGGGTCTATTGAGTTTGGGGTTTACACCTCACTTAATGCTCCTGTTTTGCCATGTTACTTTCCATGTGTCGACCGGAGTCTCTTTCGCCAAACAAACCCTGCACTCTGAGATTTGGCATGCAGTTGTGGGATCGTGCTCTGCTATAGTCAGCTGTGGTTCTAACTTGAGTTTGGCGCCCCTCAAGACGCCACAGATGCTCTCATAAAAGTAATGGTTGTAAGTGCAGATAGCTGCCGACCGTGATTTGAGGTTTCGGGCACTGCGGGCTGTATGGTTCCCGGGTTGATAGCGGGAGGGACAGAGAATGCGAGCCCGAAGCTCTTGCTGATGCTGTAAGTCCCTAATTACTTCTGAGGCTTCAATAACTGCTATGCTAGTCATATGATCCCTTATACATCCCAAAGCCCCAGGGTCCTAGTCTAATAAGTAAGACCCCCTACGCAGTAAGCTCAGGTCGTTCCTCAGCGACAAGGCCTGCGTCGAGTAGTGGCCTTTTGCGTTGTCCTTATTTGCCGTCAGTCGAATTGGGGTTAGGTCTCCCAGTGTAGGGGCTTAGAGAATCAGGTGTGTGGGTTGGCGGTGCCGGAGTCAGAACAGTGTGAGAGATGGCCCTTTTGCACTCCCGTGGTCGCCGAAGCCCGGGCGTTTGGGGATTAGCGTTGAAGGTTCAGGGTTTAGGGTTTAGGATTGAAGGTTCAGGGTTTTGGGTTCACATAAGGTTCCTTGGCATTGAGAGCTTGGGTTTCTCTTTGCCCCCCCAGTGCTGCCGGTAAGTTCTTAGATAAGCAGGGAGTGCATAAGAGTGCAGACACTCTCAGTATCTGGGTTGATCTCCTGCAGCTATATGCACAAGGTCCTCCAGCTTTTGATCCAAGCACCTGTTGGGGTTCAAGTTGCCAGCCACGTCAAGATACCGGACCCAGGCCATGCATGCCTTTAGGTTATTTTCATTCACGTTTACGGTTTAGGGTTTAGTGTTTCAGGATTTAATCGTATCGTCGTGGTTGGCTTCTGTCTTGCTTCTTACCGAAGGGAAGGCTCGGTGAACCTAAGCCCTAAGCCACATTAATGCACGATTTAGGGTTTAGCGTCTAGGGTATTCAGGTTTAGGTTTACGGTTGACATAGCCTTTGCTCGATTGACCTTTGGTTTGCTTTGGTGCCAAGGGGAAGGCACACCGAAAAGTGTAGTCCCACCGAGGCACAACTTGAAGTGCCCAAGAGCAAGCATCCAATCATCCGATCTCTGTAGTGAACAGTGACTTACGACTGTCGCCGAGTTCACTGTATGTTTAGGGTGTAGTAGGGGGGATTTGGAAACCCTACACGTAAGAGTCCGAGTTGCGAGAGCGCAAACCCTAAACCCCTAAATAGGGTTTAGGGGCTTTTGGGTTTAAAGCACAGGGTTTGGGGTTTAGGATTTAGGTGGTTTAAGGGTATTTTGGTTTAAGATTGGGGCGAGGACCCCAAGCAACTGCTAAACCACATGCAGATTTGATTAGGCTATACTACACTATAGTATACCAGTATACCATACTATACTGTACTATACTATGATATAATTTTCTATACCATACTAAACCACCTAAATTCCTGATGCTCCCATCAAAGAGGACCCCTGGGTGCGCCGCCCACGGGCCAAGCGGAAAACTCCAAGCGATCAGCAAGGCAGGCGGGTGGGCGAGACAACCAGGGTTTAGGGTTTAGATTTGTTGGCCTGTTCTGGGGGCTTCCTTAAGATTATGGGGTTTGGGGTTGGGAGAGTGTAAAGTCGTCTCAACCATATATCTTTCGGGGCCAGATTCAAGTGGGCATATTAGTGCGTGTTGATTGTTCAAAGGGAGCTATTAGAGGCCTAGCCGAGTCTACAGTTACATAGCTGCTGCTCCGGATATTTACGGTTGAGGGATCCGGTGAGTTAGGCCAAAAAAATATATATATATATATACACACATATATATATATATGTAGACATAAACCCACAAGCCCTAAGAGTTTACAGCTCGAAATTCCACACTTGACTGACTTGAGGCAAGTCGCCGCGAGTCAGTTTCTGCGATGGTGATGCTATGCTGGACCAGGAGACGAGACCTGTCAAGTAAAGGAACCCTTAAGCCTTAAAGGAGTAAGGGGGGCTTTTGTAGAGCCTTAAGATACCATAGGGGGGTTTTTAAGAGTTTGGGGGCTTCAGCTTAGCTTATAGCAGAGCCGAAGAGTTCTATGTCGGGTTTCTCAATTCCCGGCCCTGTTAGGTTCATAATAGTTGTAATCGTGGGGTGCTCGTTTCGGGAGCCAACAACGACACGGAACTCTAGTTTGCACAATATCGTTCGCAGTGGTTGGACCAATGCTGTCACATGTCACCTCTGTTTGTTTGCTATACTTATACTACCAGTGGGTATCATTGCGCATGCAGGTCAGCTCACCCACACCATTGGTATGAACACTCATGCCATCCCTGCGACCGTCGTCATTACAAGATTATTATCTTGTCGTCGCCGTCTACGAACTCAGTCCCAAACTCTTCAAAGCAAAAAGCTGGTCATCGTCTTTCACTGATGTCCTGGTGTGCCACTTCGCAGGCGGAATGTGGCTAACTCTGCCGCGGATGGGTCGTCCGTACCAAGCCGTAACGTTTCTATAACTTCGACAAGCATCAAATTTGTTCTGTTCAGTTCTCGTTGACTTGACCTCCACTGCTGTTGCCTGAATGAATTTTAAGCCGAATCCATGGTTGCACTGTTTCATGGTGTGTGCCATGTGAGATCGATGCAATCGAGGTATGGTGTCCAACCCTCAACCTCCTGGCCAACAAATTGTGATTCACTCCAAGTTATACCAAGAGAAATACCAAAATAACTAGACATATCTAGACCAATCAGGGAACGACAATGTTAAAATCTAATCATAAGGGTGCATCGCCCTAAGCTCCAAACCCTGAACCATAAATCTGTTTATCCCCAGGTCCGAGCCCTAACTCCTAAATCCCAAACCCGTGACAACTCTAACCCAAATCAAAGACCCTAAACCCTCGTATCAGACAGGCTTTGGATACGGTTGTGAACTTGTTGTTGTCCTCCTGACAGTGGTAATACCTGCTCGGTGAATAGGCTGAGTAGGTGTCAACGAGTCGTTGGACCTATATCCCCACGGACCTCGCCAGGCTTGTCCGAGTGTGAGTGTCAAGAAACCCCTAAACCCTAAGCTCTAAACCCCTAAACCCCTAAACCCTAAACCCGAGCCACGGCGTAATCCTTCAGGAGCTCCGGATGGCACGTGACCGGCTCGTTGTCGTTGACTTTGCCTCACCTCAGCGCCCTTGGTTGCTTTTAGGGCTCCCCATAAGTAGTAAGTAGTATAGGCCCTATAAGTAGTACACTAGAATAGGGCCTAGTATAGGGCTGCTGTAAGATCCTAGCGAGCAGGGTTTAGGGATTGGGGATTTTGGGGCTTCTACACGGCTTCGGTGAAGGTTTCTATGGGGGTTGGGGTCCGAAGTGGATTTATAATGGGTCAGGATTTATGTCGGGTCGGGGGCCGGGGGTAGTTAGTAGGGGGAGAAGGGTGGAAGGGTTCCCATAGGATGTTAATTATAGTTGTTGTAGTTGTTGTAGTTGCGTGTTTGCTTGCTTGCTTGCTTGCTTGCTTGCTTGCGTGTTCGTTTGTGTTTTGTTTGTTTGCTTGTTTGCTTGCTTGCTTGTTTGTTTGTTTGCTTGTAGTTGTGATGGTTGTCTTCAGGTTTTGGCTTCTAGGGTTCCTGAAGGGTCCATGTTGGGTGTTTATAGGTACCTTATAGTCTTATAGGGCCAAGAGCTCTTGTGGGGACCTGTACGGAGTCAGAAGCATTTAGAGGGTTTCAATCACGGGTGTCCTAGATTCTAGATTGTGCTCTTTCATGGTTAAGGCTCTGTTAGTATGATGGAACGCATGTGCACGCATGTATGCATGCAATGGCTTACTTATTGATTGTACCGAAGCCCCCAGCCACGGCAGCTTGCCGAAAACTGTATCGCCTGCTCTTCCTCCAAGCCCAAACTCGGGTGTTACAGTCCATAAAAGCAGAGCTCAGGTGCGGGCCGTGCCAGCGCCTAAAGCCCGAGGCAGGTTCAGTGTCAAGCAGGTGGATAACGCGGAGTTGCTCGGGATCGGCCAAGAAAGATAGACCCCGAAACTCTATTCCAAGGACCCCCTACTTTCCCCAAAGAGTCAATCCTGAGCAGAAGGCGACGGCGGGGTCTTCAAGGATGCTTTGGGCTCCGTTTGTGGGTTTCTCGAACTCGCTTTTTGAGCTTCAAGGGTTGCTATAGAGTTTCATCTGAGCCCTCACTACTTATGCGGGGTCGCCATGCCTGGAGAGCTCCAGACCTAGGTAGAAACCAGGTAGTATCTGTCAGAGGGCTTGTTTGAGGTTGTAGGGTTATGAGTTATGAGGTGAGAGTGTTTTTTTCTTTCAACCAGGGGTGGGCGGGCTTTATAGACTCGGAAGCGTCGGGCTGCGAACAGGGAAAATAGGAGAGATGATAACCCCCAAGGCCCAAAAGCCCAGCAGGTGGCACAGCTGGCGAGCGAATTACCCGAGGTCTGCTTCCTGGAGGCGTATGCTGTGAAGCTTTTGAGGTTTTAGGATGTCTCACAGCGCCCAAGAACAAGCCTTGAGCCCTGAAGCCCCAACCCCTGAAGCCTAAAGCCTAAACCTAGTGTTTCACGTCTGTTTGGTGTAACCCCCTATGGGGAGGAGCTTCGGAAAAGGGGCGCCCACTACACTTTAAAAAAAAAGCCTAAACCTTGAACCACCAAGCCTCCAAGCCTCAAGGTGGATGTCGAGACAAACTCGGGAATCGCCGACAAGTATCGCATACACTCCATTCCCACCTTCCTCTTCTTCAAAAGCCAGGTACACGAGGGTCCGTTAGTTAGGGGCTTAGAAGGAGCCCAGGATTCAGTGGGTTTAGGGTTTAGGGTTAGGCTCAGTGTATGTTCAAGAGATGTTTTGGCAAGGTCTCCAGGGTTCTACAACTCTGGGATGTACAGGGTTATTTCGTTGATGGAAAAGCCGCAGAGAGCCCCAAGCCCCCTTAAAGAAGGAATTGAATACTCATTGAAGTCCAACATCGAAGCTTGATTTCTTCCCAAGATTTTTCCTTAGGGCTCCTTACGCATACATAAGCATACCTTACCGGACCCCAAAACCCTATTCTAATCTCAATGCTACGACCCCGCCTCAGCCGTTTGTGGTCGGGTCTTATATTTAAGATTCAGGTGTCACACCCTTTTTCCCCCACTTTTCTCCTCAACCCCCAATACCCGCTTAGCACTGGAACCCCCAAGCCCTACCCCCATCACCCACCTACAAGCCAGCAACTCCACGGACACCGCTGCCCCCTCCCCTCTCCTTGACTCCTAAACCCTAAACCCCCTCAATATAGGGGCCTCAATAGATGGAATAGGGCTTGGTGGTGTATTATACTATAATTAACCCTATTCTTTTGATTAGGGCCTCCACATGACCTCCCCTGGCCAGGAGCTTCTGGGCCGCTACGAGGGATCGGACCCGGACGGCCTCACGCTGGAAATACTCCAGCACAAATGAGTTGCAATAAGATACAACTCGGTGTTTAGCCATCTCCATGGCACATGCATTTTCCGAGGGTTCCAAGCTACAGGTTGAACCCCTTCTGGGATTTCGTGGTGTCGTAAGGAATCCTGCTATCTGTCATCTCATTTTATGAAATAATGCACCGGAACACCTGTAACCCTGATGGCTTGAAGTCTTTAAGAGAGACCAAGCCGGCTTCTAGCCTTTCATCTTTCGCACGTAGGAAACATTGCGGCAGGTCAAACTCGACTGTAACTGATTTCCAGAGTGAGTTTCCGAGCGAGTTTGAAAAGGAGTTGCAAGAATCACCCTTCCGCAAGCCACAATAGAAACAGACACTCCTCTGAAATCCGAATTTACTCCGAAATCCAAGAACCTAAACCCAGGAATCCCCATCCTTGGTCCTAGGTGTTCACTGCGCTGCGAAGGATGTAAGTCTAGCATAGGGACTTGGGGGCCTCATCACACAAGTGCTGCTTTGTACCGCCTAAACCCTGAACCCCCTTGCCTACACCTTGAACCCTTCAAGTGCCCTTGACCAGAGCCCTTATGGTCCCCATTAAGGTATAAGTAATCCAGGGTAGTTTGGGGGGTGTCTAGGTACACCTTGAACCCCTAGCTGCGTGAGGTTTGGGGCTGAAGAGGTCCGCTTCGCCTAGGAACTCACAGAGTTGAGGTTTCCCCGAAACGTTAAACCCGATTGGGCTCTGGGCAAAGGCTCAGGGGGACTTCCCAGAAAGTCAGAGACCCCGACAGCTACACTCCATAAATCGCAAGGGCCCTTAGAACTGCAAGGGCCCCTTTAGAAGTTTCAGGAATCATAGAGTGGAGCCGAGTGGTTCTCGGAAGCTACATCGAGGAGACAAGTCCGGCTTGGGTTTTGATTTTGACTTTGCCTGTCCGGAAGGACAGGGGCATTTCCCATCCAGTACATGCTGTAAAACTTCAAGCCCGGACACCAAACTTCAACACCTCAGACACGAATCCCAAAAATCTCAGACCCCAATCCCTGACAGATGTAAGCCCAACAGGCGTTTACCTGGACAAGCCTAAACCCCAAACCCTAAACCTTAAACCCTAAACCTTAACCTTTTGAGTCTTTAAGTGTCCCTGGCTTTCTCAAGATGCAGATTCATCGGACCGGTCCCTCTGGGCCCGTGCCAAGACGACTGCTTGCGTTTAGGGTTTAGCGTTTTAGCTTTCGGGTTTAGGTTTAGGGTCCCGGGTTCTGCTTTCGTTTAGGGTGTTAGGAGCCTAGGGGTTTGATTTGGAGGATCGGCTTGTGATTCGGAGTTGAAGCTTTTGGGCTCCACCATCTGCTGGGGAAGGGGATTCAGGACTGACTTCTCTGAGTCTCCAAAGAGAGCCCAAAATAAGGCCCGTTCGTAGACTTTATGTCCCAAAGTAGGTACTATACTTGTCTACTTGGAGTCATGGAGTTTGGATAGTTCAGCCCCGTGGTTCGCAGTTGAAGGCTTTTTGTTTTCAATTCCGTACCTGAGATGTCTGATTCGCGAGCTCCCAACCATGATGGCGAGGCAGAGAAAACATATGGACACTTCCAGCAAGATGAGAACCCACAGTGCCTTGAATGTCCGAGAGTGAGCTCCGAAACCCGAAACCTTAACCTTAAAACCCTATCATAAATCCAAACCTTAAGCCCCAAAAGGAAGCCCGCGAGCTTCCTTGAGTTTCACTCCTGCACCCCTATAGGCCTACCTGATCCTTGTAGGGTTTCGGCTGTCACCTATTACGCTTCCCAAGAACGAGTCTTAAAAAGGGTTGCAAGGGTTCGTGAAAAAGTGCTTTATGGAAAGGAAACCCTCGATCCGAAACCTCATTAATCCCACACCGTATGATTTGCAGGTTCAAGCTATGTGAAAGCCCCTCGTGGGCGGGGGCCAGGGCCCGTTTGTGCCGTAGCAATGGCACCGGGCATCGGCCTCCTTCTAGTCTACCGCGTGCTGGCCGCTTGGAGGACAGTTTCCCTTATAAGGGTCCAAGTAATCCTTATTTATGGTTTTAGGCATCCAAAACGGCCCCAAAGTCCTTAAATAGTGGGCACTTGGACCCTTAAGGTTTAACATCGGGGTCTGAACCATCCAATTCTACTCCTCAAGCGATTACGCTATACAAAATCCTCCCACCAGCATGTTCCAACGGCTCGGGGCCTCTATTATGTGTTACGGTTTTCAGGCGTCGGACATGTTGATGTACATGCCCAAGCCCACCTTACACCTTGCATTATCCTAAACTGTGAGGCCCCCCGATAACAAGAACAACCTAAACCCCTTAGACTTTGACCCTAAACTCCCAACAATAGACCAGAATCAAGGCAGTTTTCGCTCAGCCTATCTTGGCGGAGCCTTGGGTTGTGCCACAAGCTCCTCGCCTGCGAATGGGCCTCGCTGCCTTGCTGCTGCGGTTCTTTAATGCTTGCATGCATGTATGTGCGTTTGTAAGCAAGTATGCGAGCATTTATATACATAACTACATATATATATATGTATAAATAAATAAATATATATATATATACACACACACACACATATACCTAAAGCAGCACAGTGCCGTGACATTTTTCGATTTTTTTGAGGCAGCCATTATACTATCAATGCTTACCATTAAAACGCAAGCCCTATAGTAGACAGGGAAGGAGCAACATAAACCACCTACATTCTCTGTGTTCTTCTGCGGGACACTGGGATTCTGAGCTCCATGACCGGCCCCAGCGCCTGTCATCCATTGGGTGGGGGGTTTGGGGTTGAGGCTTGTCTCTGGATCGTGCACCTCCATTCATTCATCTACTTCATGTATACAGATGGAGTCCTCAATTCCCAAGCCGAAGGAAGTGTGTACGCAACACATAATGACAAACTCCGACGACACAGGCCCGTTCAGAGTTCAGGTAACCAACAATGCCGAGCAACAAGTTCAGGGCTTGCAGAAGATCCATGTTGATCTGTCTTGTTACAGGGATGTAGGCCCGAATAATTGCATGTAGCACAAACGTTGCATCGACTCCCTTACCCAGAGAACCTACATACTATAAACGCCTGAACAGTTACCAAGATTTTGGACCAAGATGACTCCTTACTTAGGTTCTTTAGTCTAATCCTCCGCGGCCCTATTGTAACTAGTAACTGTTAAAGCCCGAATACTGCACTCTAGACCCCCAGACTCATGCCCAAAATCCCTAAACTTGCTCTATACCAGTTGGAGATCTCAACAAGTCCTCGAGACCCATCGTTCCGCAGGTGCCGTCAGAGCCGTCGGGCTACAAAGAGCAAGTCCCGAAGTCGCTTCCGCCGGTTGAAAACGCTGCAACTGGAGCTCAATTTCGTGGTGCTTGAAGGGGTTTCAGGAATTCCCTGAAGGCTTGGGGTGTCGTTCGTAGGTTTTCCAGAGGGCTTCTTTGGGCCCCTAGTATTGTTGCATGGTGCACTCTTGCCTTTTGATGAATCTATCGTTCTCGCTTGTGTCTAGTCTCGTTAACAGGTTTGAGGGTCTTAGATTGTAGACTTTCAAGAAGCACAAGGAGCTACAGCCCCCCCTACTATAGCGCATGTTGAGGCTTCCAGGTGTCGTTTGCCTTTTGCCGCCTTCTTTTGCGGATTTTTTTCTCCGTAAGTGTCGAAGTGGAGGTATGGGGGGCGCGGAGATATATTTTTTCTTATTGTGCTGCTGCAATAGACTGCAATTTTCCTGCCACCTGCTAGCACTGGGCAATACCAGCACGTGAAGGGGCAGCTCAGCTTAGTATGCATTTGCCAGACAACGGCCGAAACCCTAGGCCCTATATAGACCCTAATACCCTAGACCTAAACCCCTAAACTCGAATCCCCCAAATCCTAAACCTAAACCCTATACATACCCCAAAACCCTAAATCCTGAACCCCCTTTCAGGCATGGGGTCCTTCGGAAGAGCAGCGGTGGCGGCAACAGCAAACCGCCCTACAGTCGGGCCGGCGATCGCTCTCCGAACTTCAGCAGGCTAGTGTAGGGGTGACACGAATAAGCAGGGTGACAATTAAAATATTCCCTGGCCCAGACTTTCCCGGCCGAAGACTACTCTGGATTGCGCACCCAGATCAGCCCAGATCTGGCAAAACAATTGATGTTGTGGTTCTGGTGATATAAAGGGGTGACGATTAGAATATTCGGGGCCCCAAGTCCCAAAATCTTAGGGCCTGGCTTGAGGAAAAGCTTATTATCTTCGTGAAAAGGAGAGAGAAGCCTAGACCCTAAACCTAGCCGGCAGGGTGCAGTTCCTCAAACGTCTCACTGAACTACCAGCTCGCAGAGTGCCGTTCCCACTCCACCCTTTGGCAAGCAGGGCAAATCCGACAAAAGCTCCAAGCTTTCAAGAGCTGCAAGCTTTGGCATGAAGCTAGGGACTCTGGATCTAGGAACCGTAGCAGCTATTCTTGAGGCTTCTGCCTGATTCGAACCCCTTATAAACGGAGCCATTTCACAAAAGCCGGCAAAGGTATCCCTTACGAGCCCTCCTGATGCCAATACTAAATGGGTGACAATGATATACTCCCGCCTGGCAGGGGGGTCCTGGAAGCAAGGCTTTCGTCAGACGGCTGTTTAGAAAGCACGAAGCAATGGGCCTCAAGCCAATTGCTTTGGTATTCGAGAGTTGCAGGCTTTGGCATGAAGCCAGGGATTCTGGATTCCAGGAACTGCAGCAGCTAGTCTTGAGGCCTCTGCGTGATTATTATTACTACTATCAGTACGGACCCCGGACCCGGCCGGAAGTTTATTTCCCCCCCGCCCCCGGCTTATCCAAAACACGTCCACAACACAATCCAACGGAACAATTACTGAGGCCTAGCCAAGGCTAGAATTACCCATGCAACTCTTTAGGGCTCCTTTACCTATAAGATATACTGTAGTCTAGTATACTCCCAAATCCCAACTATGATCATCCAGGCCTCATAAAGCTCTTTTGACTCTCATAAAGCGGTAGAGAGCCCTGTTCTAAATAT